CCTTCCCCTTTCTTCAGACAAAGCTGCCTTCTCTTCTAACCAGGGGCCTTTTTCCTTTCTGCTTTAATCTAAGGCTGCAGAGAACCCAAACAATCGGCCGAGGCAATTTCTGAAATTGCTGAAAATCATTTAAGGCGCTTCTGCAGCATTCCCTCCTGCTCTGGGAGCGCTCGGCTGAGCCTGGAAGAGGGCATTTGCCAGCTGCTCAGGGGCGGGCGGGGGAGGGGGGGCGCTCCCCAGAAGCTGCGCTTGGGCCTGGCCGCCTGGTCCCAAGTTCAGGCCAGATGCCAATTTCAGGAGGCCTCTGCCGGGCTCCGGACCACGTCCTCCACTTCTTAAGTTCCTCCTGGCAAGCTGGCTAAATGGTGCTTTCATTTCCCCTTCACCTGTGACCTTGCCTTCAAGGAAAGGGGAAAGGTTTCTACAGAAGGAAGAAAAGGCTCTCAGCCAGCTTCTGTGGGCAGGAGTACAGGGTGGGAAGCAGGTAGGGGCACATTCAGAATTCTGCTCAAGAGCAAACACTGGGCTGGCAGGAGACACCCCCTGCTCAGTGCTTTACCTACACCTCATGCATTCCTTGCCACACCCTGTGAAGCAAGTGCCCTTGTGCCCATTTTTAGATGAGTAAACTGAGTCTCAGAGGAATTCACTACCTTGCTCAAGCTCACACAACTTGAAGTGGGGCTGGGTCTGCCTCCAAGCCCCTTCTGGAACCATCACACCTGCCTTCTAATTCTCAAGGGAGGAGGCAAATAGCGCTGTTGGAAGAAGGGACGGGGTAGAATGGGGCTAGAGCATCCTGGGGGGTGGGGGGGGTGCGGTGTTAGGAACACAGACAACTGAGTGTGACAGGTGAAGTGTGAGAGTTGCAGGTGGACAATAGGTGGTGCTAGGGCTCCCGGGAGCACCCTTGGAACCAGCCCAGGCAGAAGCCAAGGAAAAGGGGTGGGGACCCGTGTTTACAACGCCACGTGTTCTGGGTTAAGTGCCCTCTGGGTGACAGGGCTAAAGGAAAAGTGGTTAAATCAGCAATATTAGTAATGCCTTCTCTCCTTAGCTAGCTCAGCCCTGGCAGGCCTTTGAGTTGGGTCAGTAGGGGGAGGGTGGGGAGGGCAGAGCCTGGGCTGGGGTGGAGGGGGGTGGAGAGTCAGGGAAGGACTGAGGGAGGCATGGGGAGCAGAAGAGAAAGCAGCAGGAGGGGCAAGCAGGAGGTTCAGGACGCTTGCTATGGGGTGTCTTTTCCAAGGCTCTCAGAGCCAAACTGCCTGTCCCACCTCTGCATTCCTGTTGTCACCCCTGGGCCATGTGAGGTGGGTGGAGGCAGATCACCTGCCTGGTTGCAGAGAGAGGAAGTGGCCTAAGAGGCCCAAAGTCAGCCGCCTTCCCACTCCTTGGCGGTGTCACCTGGGGTCCAGGACACCAACAGACAGGGGGGCTGTGGAGTACAGAGAACTTTTTCTTTGTGATGCAACGTAATTTTTGGTCAGATTTATTTCTCCCAGATATTTATTCCTGCCAATGTTAATGCCTGCGCAAAAACAATTATCCTAAATTCTTTAAGATGGGATGAAGCCGACGCACAGGAGGAAGTGTAGGAGAAAATGAGTCCTGAGAGGTCAGGAAGGAGGTTTACTAGTAAAAGTCAAACCCTGTGGATTTCAAACTTTTTTTTAATTAACAAAAAGAACGCTTCTTTTAAGCAAACTCTTAAACTAACCCCGAAACTTCAAAACAGATAAAAATGGTGCTGCTCCAGTAAGAGCAGGAGCAGCAGCAGGAGCAGGAGCAGGAGCAGCAGTAGGAGCAGGAGCAGCAGGAGCAGGAGCAGCAGCAGGAGCAGGAGCAGCAGCAGCAGCAGGAGCAGCAGCAGCAGCAGGAGAAGCAGCAGGAGCAGGAGCAGCAGCAGGAGCAGCAGCAGCAGCAGGAGAAGCAGTAGGAGCAGGAACAGCAGCAGGAGCAGCAGCAGCAGCAGGAGAAGCAGCAGGAGCAGGAGCAGCAACAGGAGCAGCAGCAGGAGCAGCAGCAGCAGCAGGAGCAGCAGGAGGAGCAGCAGCAGCAGGAGAAGCAGCAGGAGCAGGAACAGCAGCAGGAGCAGCAGCAGGAGCAGCAGCAGAGCAGCGAGCAGGAGCAGGAGCAGCAGCAGGAGCAGCAGCAGGAGCAGCAGCAGGAGCAGGAACAGCAGCAGGAGCAGCAGCAGGAGCAGCAGCAGGGAGCAGGAGCAGGAGCAGGAGCAGCAGCAGGAGCAGGAGCAGGAGCAGGAGCAGCAGCAGCAGCAGCAGCAGGAGAAGCACGAGCAGGAATAGGAGCAGGAGCAGGAGCAGGAGCAGGAGCAGCAGCAGCAGCAGGAGCAGGAGCAGGAGCAGCAGCAGCAGCAGGAGAAGCACGAGCAGGAGTAGGAGCAGGAGCAGGAGCAGGAGCAGCAGCAGGAGCAGGAGCAACAGCAGGAGTAGGAGCAGGAGCAGGAGCAGGAGCAGGAGCAGGAGTAGGAGCAGGAGCAACAGTAGGAGCAGGAGCAGGAGCAGGAGCAGCAGCAGGAGTAGGAGCAGGAGCAACAGCAGGAGCAGGAGTAGGAGCAGCAGCAGGAGTAGGAGCAGCAGCAGGAGGAGAGCAGCAGCAGGAGCAGGAGGAGCAGGAGCAGGAGCAGGAGCAGGAGCAGCAGGAGCAGGAGCAGCAGCAGGAGCAGCAGCAGGTGGCCCTTCTCTCCGCCAGGCTCACGTGGAGAGAACACCACAGATCACATCCAGCCTCTTGTTGAATCAGGAGGAAGGAGCCCAGGGTAAAGGGGGTGGGGGTGTCAGGAATCAGGAGACCAGGTTCCACTGTCTTCCTAGCTGGGTGGCCCAGGACAATTCAAACTATTTCTCTGTGCTTCCGTTTCCTCACTTGAAACATGTAGACAATAGAGGGGGCTGCTGTGAGGATTTAACAGCTAACACGTGCTGAGTGTCATCGCACAGGACCTGGCCCAAACTCAGTGCTCCCTCATAGGTGGTGTGAGGGAGATTTGTCCGAGGCCACCCAGCCAGTTAGAGGAGGCGGCCATGCAGCAGCATGGGTGCAGCACCAGGCGCCATTGAGAAAACCAGGCCCTGCTCATGTACCGCCAAAGGGAGACATGGATGTGTCGGATTTCCCCTGATGGTGCAGATGGAAGACACGCCGCAGGCAGGACCCCTCTGGGGCCTTCCACCGGGGCCTGGCTCTCGGCCCCGTGTTTGCAGGTTTGCTGCAGGAGCGCCGAGAGGAGGGAGGACAGTCACCACTGTGCCTGGGCATCATGCCATCATCTGCTGGGGAGCCAGAGAGCCACATGGTTTCACTCATTCTTACAAGAGAAAAAGTGCAGGGAGCTCTGTCCCTTCCATTGCCCCCCCGCAGCCCGACACCTGCACACCTGCAGGAACACTCTCTTGCCATTGGAGCTGCCCTGTGGGGGCTCAGAAGCCAGTGAGGAAGGAAGGAACCTTCAGTTCTGGTTCAGGACCATGAAGTGCACTATGCTAATCTGGTTAGTTCATAAAATAGTTGGTTAAGGCCCTGGGGGAAACAGAAGGGGAAGCTATTTTAGCAACATTCCCTAGTTTGGTTGGGATCATGTGTGGAGGAGAACATTCTGTTTTCCTTGTGGCCACCCTGTTTTGATTCTCCTGGTCTTTCTGGTTCTCCCGGCAGCCCGGCGGGAGTGTGCCAGTCAACGCTGGGGTTTTCAACACCTACCCCCTGAAAGGCCGGGGCTCCTGTGTCACCCAGCGCCCTCTGGGAGTTCTCCTGGGACCAGTGGTGGAACTATAAGGCCTTCTGAAGAGGCAGGCCCTCTGGGGCCCCATGCCAATGGCCTGGGTACCACCCTTCGTGATTTTGCAGAGTGAGTGAGGAGCAGGTGAGCTGGGAACAAAACCAACGCTGCCCACAGTGAATCTGCTTTCACTTCAGACGTGCCCCTTTTCTCCCACCCGACGTGGCTGCGTGGAAGCCACACACTATTAGTTCCACAGAATTGAAAAGTATGTCAGATCTCCCAGACGCACCAGAAACATGCTGTTCACTTGTCACCTCCAATGTGACTGATGCTGTTGTGTCCTAATTAGTTGCTGCTCACTGGCTGTGGGACAGCGTCACAGCGTCATGCCAAGACCCCATTTGTGAGAGGCGGTGCAGATGAGATGAAAGGATAGAGGTTTGCCAGTTTCTTTGGGTCCCTTTCCACCGAGCACTGTGAATCCAGGTGGCCTCTGCCAACTGCATTTATCAGGCCAGGGCAACCCTGTGACAGTAGAGTCAATAGGGTCATACTCTGGGACACATTTACTGGAGGGAGAGAGGGAGGGAGGGAGGGAGGGAGGGAGGGAGATGAGACAAATAAATGGTGGTCTAGAAGATTCCTTCACAAGTCAGCGGTATGTCATGGGCCCTGATGGGGTTCATCTGAGGCTAAAGGGCCAAGTCTGCAGGCACCAGGCCACCCCGCCCAGCCCCTGCCCAGAGAGAGCTGATTGAACCAGCAGGCTCACCTGACCCAAAGGTTGTCGTCCACTGGCTCACTTATGACACATGACACCACAGTGGCTGCCCTATTAAGATGACCACAGCCCAACCCATGAAGGTCGACCCATGAACCAGGAGGTCATGGTTCGATCCCGGTCAGGGCAAATGCCTAGGTTGCAGGCTGGATCCCCAGTAGGGGGGCATGCAGGAGGCTGCCGATCAATGAGTCTCTCTTATCATTGATGTTTCCATCTCTCTCTCCCTCTCCCTTCCTCTCTGAAATCATAAATAATTAAATTTATTAATTAATAAGACCAGAGACGGTTCCATTTCTCCTTTAGGGGCTGCACATTCAGAACAGAGCTTGAAGCTGAAAGGGGAGATTGGGGGCTGAAGAGAGAAGGTAGTGGAAAGAAAGCTGGCCTGGGAACTCTTCCTCTCACTGCCCACCAGCCTGACCACCCATCTGGGCCGCAAGAGAGGTGAGAATCCACACACACACACACACACACACACACACACCCCGCACAAAGCCAGGAGTAGGAAGGTACAGGAGCTCCCTGGTGCCCAGGTACTTGCCAGCCTCAGCGAGGAGCCTCATAGGCCACTTTCCTCCTTCCCACGCGCCCAGGTCCTTCGTTCATTCAGCCTCACGGGTGCAGCCTCCAGGGCCCTTCAACTCTTCAGGAACCTACAGAAACGACTGAGATGAAAACAAAACTTACTGGCTCCAATATACACATGAAGCTTCACAATTGATGTTTAAATGTCTATAGAACATAACGTGGTGCTAAGTAGCCAACCACAACTCTTGTACACGTGAATTCTCTCTGTTCGGGGTGGAACATGGTGCTCTGTAACAGCCTCGACGAGCTGTGGGGAGTGTCTCCAAAAGTGTGTGCAGGAGCTGCAGCGGCTGGGACGGAGCTCGGGACACTAACCTGCTAAGGGTCTATTTCATGAAGTCAACGAACCCCTTCCATCTCACCTCCAGCATTCGGTGTAAGCCACACTGCCCAAGAAGGATGGAGAAGTTACAGGCACCCAGCAACTTCTAATTCATCGGAGGGTAATTAAGAAGCTTGACAAGACTTCCTTCATCAGGTCCCTAAAGGAGGGACTATATTAGAAGCCCATTTTTCCATTTTTGGTTTGATATACCGAGCAATTCTGGTTAAAAATGAATGACACTAAATAATGAGACATTATGCTACAGTAATTGGGGTCAGATTGATGATGCAAAACAATGAGTCTTCCTTCTTAAGTTCTTCAGATAAAACATCTTTCCTGCTACCTCTAAAGGTTAATTAGCAAATGAAGTATTTAAAGCATTAAGGACTAATTCTCCCAGGTGCAGTAAGTCACAGTAAAACAGGTCATTTCCATCTGCATCTGATCGGCTCAGAAGTCTCATTTCCAAATTAAATACCCGAATCTCAGCCCCTCCCTGGAGCCTCCTGGAACAGTCAGCACAGTGTGACGTTTCAGAGCAGAGTTCTTGTGTGGTTGCTCTTTCCAGTTCTGTTTACTGTGTTCGAGGCATTTCTAGGGGACCCCTGACATTCATGCCTCAGCTTATCTTCTTTACAAACCGGGTCCTTCCTGACAGGCTCCACAGGCTTCCTGGCTTCCGGTTTGTCTTCTAGAACTCTCCCATAGAGCCTCCGGAACCTGGAGAAGCAGCAGCCTGAGCCCGTGGGTCAGCTCCCAAAGGTTCTCGAAATGAGCTCCTGGTGGGAGTTCTCTTCACTTGCCAGCAGTGCCAGTGGCCCCCCCTCTGCCTCTGGCCTGGCCTCCCCTAGGAGCAGGGTTTGTCGGGGTGTGAGGGGGCTCCCAGCTGCTTTCCCTTCTCTTGTCCCCATCCAGGCCTGCCCCATTTCAGTCATGGCCTCCAAGACTGTGCCAGGGATCACATTCTCCCTGCTCCCCCCCCCGCTGTAACTTCCCTCCCCCCTCCCCCTACCCCCCCACCCCCCACCCCCCTACCCCCCCCACCCCCCCACCCCCGGTAACTGAAGTCTATGCCTCCCAGAAGCCACACGGCAGCACTCCGAGCCCCTACCTTCTGGAACCTGCACAGCCTGTCACCTGAGCCCCTTCTCCTTCAGGTGCTGATGCTCTCAGCTCCTGTGCTGCTCAGGAAAGAATCCCCGATGGGGTTATTTTACACGTCCGTCCGTGTGGATGAGTCACTGGGTCCTTCTCTGGGGGATGGAATAATAGCCTTTCATTTCAGTGGAAGGAAAGTTAAGCACCGATTAAGATAGAAGGGGGAGGGATCTCCCTAAGAATCACGCTGCCTAAAATCACACACTTGGCCTACCCACTACTGATATTAGTCCTGACCCACCGAAGAATGGCTGCTTAACTGAAAAACATGACCAAGACAAGGGCCAGGCCAGACACAGAAGACAGGAGAGAGAAAAGAGCAATGAACGATGGAAACACTGCTGGGGAGGGGGGGGGGGGGGCAGGGAGCAGTGAATAAAGTGCCAGGCTTTTCAGTCCCAGATGCAGAGGCCGGGAACCACCCGGTCAGACGGTCAGATGGCCAGACGGTCAGATGGTCAGGCGGAATCACGGTCCAGTCACGTCAGTGCAGGGAGAAATGATCCGGTGAGGAACAGAATGGTTTACACACTCAAAGCTATTTACCTACTTTCCCTTTGAAGTTTAAGAAAAATATTCTTCCTGTTTGGAAAGAGGAGGGGTATTAAAGAAAGAGCTGAAGATATGAAGAAAATAATTTATTGGTATTAAAATCAGGGGATTGGCATGCAATCAGCAACATGAATCATGAGTAAAGAAAATGACAGCTGGGGGGTGGGAGTAGACAGGGAGAGGTCAATGGGGGGAAAAGGAGATACATGTAATACTTTAAACAATAAAGAATTTAAATTTTAAAAAAAAGAAATGAAAGAAAAGAAAATGACAGGAGAACGTGCCCTGCTTGAATGAGGCTGGGGAGCGGCAGGGAGTGGGACAGAGACAGCCTTCCCCCCACCCCACCCCTCCACCCCCCCCCCACCCCCCATCACCCCCAATCCCCCGCCAGGCAGGAGTTGCTGCTGAGTAAGCACCAAGCAGCAGCAGCAGCAGCAGCAGCCCTCCCTGAGGGATCTGACAGGCCAGGTCTGAAGTTACCAACACACCTGTGGCCAGAGCAGCACACACACACACAAATACTGTTATTCTCACCACCAAAGGCTTCTTCATTTCCTAAAAGGATGTACTTTAGAGGCTTGTTTCCATGGAGAAGTAACCTCGCTGTATTTTAAGTGTCACTTCAAAACAAAAGTGTGATTCCCTCCAAAAACCCTTCCTGGGAGAAGGCGGGCTGCTCGAGGTGAGAATGGTGCTCGCTGTCCCGCTGGAGGCGGCAGAAGCCTGGGTGGTTCTGCGCCTGAGGACCCGGGAAGTCGGCCATGCTGCCTCTTCCTGGAGCAGGGAGCAGACGCGGTGAACGTGTGCACGACCAGTTCACACTGGGTTCCGAGACTGATGAGGACAAACGGTGTGCCCACCTCGGTTTGCCAAAAACCTGATCCCAGAACCTGCCCCCAAAGATGCAATTCCAAAGGTCTGGAGTAGGTCCTGGGAACCTTCATTTACACTGCAATCCAGGGCAGCGGTTGCCAACCTTTCGGACCTCACGGGCCACCAGTGATCCACGGACCACTGGTTGGCGACCGCTGATCCAGGGGATTCTGAGGCAGGTAGTTCAGAGACCATGTGTTGAGTCTGGGGTCAAGTGGGCCTGGGGTGGGTGACAAGGTCCTAGAGCAGCGGTTCTCAACCTGTGGGTCGCGACCCCTTTGGCGGTAGAACGACCCTTTCACAGGGGTCGCCTAAGACCATCCTGCATATCAGATATTTACATTATGATTCATAACAGTAGCAACATTACAGTGATGAAGTAGCAACGAAAATAATTTTATGGTTGAGTCTCAACGAGGAACTGTATTTAAAGGGCCAGAAGGTTCAGAACCACTGGCCTAGAGGATGAGGGTGGTCAGCGGCAGCAGAGAAGGAACTTCTGAAGGCTAAAGACACATTTCCACACACTCAAGAGACAAAAAAGTGCACCGGAGGGAGGGCTGCCTTCTGCGTGTGCCGCCTACCCTGCCCCAGGGGACAACCAGCTCTTCTGAGCTGGCCTGGCCCTGCCTTACAAAAGCACGACGAAGGCCATGCTTTTAGAGGGCCTCCGATTGCTCAGTCACACCTTGCCTTTAGCTACTTCCCCCACCACCACCACCATTAGTACAAAAATATACTCTCCCTTGAATAGATAAAAAGGTGTGCAGGTGCCTGGGCCCTAACCTGAGTGTGCTGCTGGGTCTGGGTCCTCGGCCCTCCTTCTGGCTCAGGGCCAGTGGATCTAAATCAGGGTGGGGAACCTCTCTTCTGCCGAGGGCCATTTGGATATTTGTAACATCATTTGTGGGTCACACAAAATTATCAACTTAAAAATGAGCCTGCTACATTTGATCAAACATTTAATTAACTCACCCCTAATGCCTTGGCGGGGCCAGACCAAATGATTTCACGGGCCCGACATTCCCCACCCCAGATCGAAATGCCTGCATTTTAGCCGCACCACTGTCAGGTACTAGATGCCCTGACTGGCCCGGGTGAACAGCCTGCTCTGAGTGTAAACACAGGAAGTGTGGGGACCTCGGGGCTGGATGATTACTGCCAACATTCAATGTGCGGTTCGCGTATGTAGCGCCAAAGGTCAACCAGATGCAAAGAAATTGGTACATTAATGAAAGAAGAAAAACCCTTTGCTGCCTAGGAACAATGCTTGGTGATCTTGCCTGTTGGCTGCGGGAGGGTGAAGAGAGGTGAACTTTAGCCGGGACACCCACTGTATCCTGGAGGACCAGGCCCGAGGGCCTGCCACTCCTGTCCTGGGGCTGGAATTCGGGTGTACTGACGAGTGCTGGAAGTCATGGGTCAGTGGAAGGGCCTGTGCTACTTGCCACAGAGAATTTACCCTATTTTATTACATAAAGAAAAAAAGATACATCTATTCAACTTTGGTTGTCATCTGTGCATCTCCTGTGGGAAGTCACGCAGCTGCAAAGCAAGGTTTCCTTCCGCGGACAAGGTAGCTCCCATTGGATCACAGTGTCCTTCCAAACCCTGTCTTTCAGGTGGCCAGGCCAGGGGCCTTGAGCCAGCTTGCACCTCTCTGGGAAGGCACGTGCTGGCCCAGGGAACACAGCGAGGATGACAGGTGATCCCCAGTGAACTTCGGGAAATGTGAGCTGGAAGACTTCATGTTTTCATTGCTTGGATTTCTATTGAGCAACATTTCTCTTTCTCTAAAAACCCAGACCACAGGGCTGACACGAGAAAAGCTACATTCCAGGGTCTCCTTTGTTCTTGTTTGGTGCCTAACATCAGCTTTCCTTCCTTCTTTCAGAGAATAAGTCAAATATTCCGGTGAGGGGTAAAACGGCGCTTCTCTTTCTCTGCACCAGATGACTAACTATTAACATCTAAGGTGTAGCTTGTTGGAGCATGTAGCTCCCAAGGTCAATCACATCCAAAAGGAATGAATACATCACTCAAAAGGAAAATGCTGATCAGAACAAAATGGTGGAAAAAATAATTGTATTTATTTTAAAAGCTTTTGGTCTTCCCGTAAACATGGAACCCCTGCTTCCCGAGGAAGACTTCGGGTGGACAGTCCATGTTGGTCGGGTGGTTCTCTCCAACGCCTCACGAGCCTGGGTGGGCCTCACTCTGCAGACCCCTCTGCAGGGCCCTTCTGCCCAGGAAACGTGCTCTGCCCACAGCTGGCCCAGGTGCACAGGTGTCAGTGAATCCCTAAGGTCACGTCATTTTGTCAGCAAGTCTGGACGCACCTAACTGAGTCCTAAGAAAGTGGATCAGCTTGGTCTCGGTGAGGAACGCTGTCCCCAGAGTCGCTCCCAGACAGAAGGCCCCCACCACCACGTGCGCCAGCCGGGCCAGCCAGCCCTGCTTACAGCAGAGGAACGCCTGTGGAAAGAAACCGTGGTCACTGCCCTGGCCTCCTTCCTCTGGGGCAAGCCGGGGGAAGCAGGGGCCCCACTGTTCCAACTCTGAGTCAGATCAAGGGCGTGACAACTATGCGCTGAGGGTCTACCCTGTCCCCAAGGCTAACAGCATCCTAAGATGCTGTCCTAGAGGCTTCGGGGGAGGGACAGAGGTGGGAAATACTTGTCCAGCTGCTTCAGGCAGAGCAGGAAGGGAAGCCTAGAGGGAGGAACAGGGGACAGCTTGCTTCAGGGACTCTCACCTCTGACACACCAGTAATCCCACCACTGAGGGCAAATGCTCCCAGGAGGACGGGCGACAGCTGCAGGCCCGCCAGGGGCCTGTGGGGGCTCTCACGGTAGTAGCGGTGGATGAACCAAAGGCTCTTTGTGATCCGAATGCCCATGTTAAAGCAGTTGGCCAAGATGAAGCCCACACTGCCACACCAGCGGGTCAGGAGGTAGGACAGCACCAGGAATGAAGATGACAGGGCCAGCATTGTGAGGTTGTACCTGGTGAGGGAAACAAGCAACGCGGGGCAGTGACAACTTGCCCTCAGACAGAACTGCAAAAAAAAGTGGCTGTGAAATGCAGTCATGGAAAGCACCTGCAAGTCCCCGTAGTCCAGCTGGTTTTCATAACATTTTCATGCTCTAAAGATAACATGGAAATGTCACTGTCCCCCCTACCCCTGAATAGAAGAGTAAGAAAATGAACAACTCGTGTCCTGACCGGTGTGGCTCAGTGGGCTGGAGTGGCATCCCGTGCATCGAAAGGTTGCCAGTTTATTCCCAGTCAGGACACATACCTAGGTTCTTGGTCAGGGCATGCATGGGAGGCAGCCGATTGATGTTTCACTTTCACACTGATGCTTCTCTTCCGCTCCCTTCCTCTCTCTTTAAATCAATAAAAGCATGTCCTCAGGTGAAGACTGAAGAAAATGAGCAACTCAAGATAGTTATGGTTTTTTTAAGGATAATAATTGCTTCATTTAAGGGGCACTTTGTAATCAAAACACAAAATAATCCTATTCAGCCCAAGTCTTCAATGTGAGGCAGGAGAATATGACACGGGTAACAATTATATACAAAGGCTAACTCTGTGTCAGGCACCGTGTACCCCCTCTTGTCTCCCCCTCCCCACCCTCCAGCCCACGGTGCCTGAATGAATGAACACACAGCCTTCCCCGGGGAGTTCAGGTTCACTTGCAGACAAGGAAACCAGGCACACGGAGTCTGAGTAACTTGCCTGGGGAGGGAGCCAACACTCCCCCTGACCCCTGGCCCCTAAACTCTAGCACTGCACACCACTTCCTTCCAAATGCAGAAGCCCCATACCCTTGGCTGGTGGACATCATTCAAAGCAAATGATCAGCCTCCAAAATGAGATGTGAACAGGGAGCAGGCCTGGATCGTCTCCAGTGTCCCCAGACGCTTGCACATCCTTCCTTCTCCTCTGCATCTCTAGAGCTCTTTGGAGTCTATGACTGTATGGACTGTACTGCTCCTTCTGCTTCTCTGATTTCAAAGCAGCCAGTCACTGCCAGGCCAGCACGGCTCAGTGGTTGAGCTTCAACCTATGAACCAGGAGGTCAGGGTTCGATTCCGGTCAGGGCACATGCCCGGGTTGTGGGCTCAATCCCCAGTGGGGGGCGTGAAGGAGGCAGCCAATCAATGATTCTCTCTCATCATTGAAGTTTCTATTTCTCTCTCCCTCTCCCTTCCTCTCTGAAATCAATAGAAATATTACATATATATGTTTAATATTTCAAAATTAAACTTAACTATCTGAAGTAAATACCATGTCAAGACCATTATTTGAAAACTATATGTTGTGTCCAAAAAGTAGTCTGGAAAATCAATTTAGTGGGTCATGATAGGGCAGTTTAAAAATAAAACAACAGCCCTGGCCAATGTTGCTCCGTGGTCAGAGTGTCAGCCTGCTCACCAAAGGGTTTTGGATTCGATTTCCAGTCAAGGACACATACCTGGGTTGCAGGTTCAATTCACGTGTGGGAGGCAACCAATCAATGTGTCTCTCACATTGACGTTTCTCTCTCTCCTCCTCCCTGCCCCTCCCTTCCACACTCACAAAAAAAAAAAAAAAAAAAAAATGGAAAAAATATCCTCGGGTGAGGATTAACAACAAAAAATAATAATAAAAATGAAACAACAGAATTAAAAACTATCAGCATGTCCTGTGCATAACTGGCGAACTTACTGCTTCGTGAAAGCAGGAAGTTTCAGTCATGGCCCCTGAATATGTACTGGGTCACAGTGCTCAATGTCGTTTCTACTGTGAAAGCTGATTTGGGCCAGCAGTTCCTCGGGCCCAGCTGTCACTGGAAATCTCCTGGAGCTGTGTAATGGAAGACCCCTTGGCCCAGGCCCCACAAGTCTAGTTCTGTTGGTCTAGGAGGGGCTAGAACTTCCTAAGGGAACCTGGTCAGTCTGGGGTCTGCTACCCTAAACTCAAGTTCTAAATTATGGTGTAGCAAACACAGTCACAAGCTTCTTTGTGAGACAGTCCAACAGGGGCAGAGAGGCTGCTCTGAATGAGAGGAAGGGCTCCCCAACTCTGTGAACTACCCTTTCCCATCCCACCCCCACAACTGGCCTCAGGGCTTTCAGCAGCACTCAAGGCAGTTTAGAGGCAGCATGAACGCCCCCCTCACCCCAGAGACCAAAGGGATAACGAGGGCTCCTCATCCCATTTCATCCCATTACCTGCACCCACCCCTTCTACTCTCTCTCCTTCTCCCTATCACTTTCATCACTCTCTTTACCTCATCCTGTAGTGATACCTTAAGATACAGCCTTGCTGGTTTTGGTATTTGGACACAAGAGATGAAAGATCCTGAGTTCATTAATGAGCAGTTCATGTCAAAATCACTGAGGAGCTTTTAGACACACACACACACACACACACAGTTAGGAGCCTGCTGATACTGCAGGTGTGGTAGGAGAGAGAGTGGTGGAAGTAGGTGGGCAACAGTCTGCATTTCTAGCAAGCCCCATGGGGATTCTGATTCACAACCAGGGTTAAGAACCACTGCTTGAGGTTCCGGGGCAGAGGTTCTGGTCTGTTGTCAATGGATGAGAAAAATGGGCAAAAACATGTATGTTCACATGAGCCTTTCTCTGAGAGAAATGTCACAGATCCTGAGATTCTTAAAGACCCACAAGTCAGATTCAGGGACAGGACTCTGAATCCTGGAGAAGCCCTCTGGTAACCCTCTGGAGCAGTAAGCAGGGAAGTGCAGGAGTAGAGCTTGTCTTGTGCACGTCTCTGCAAACCTGGACTGACAGCCCTCAGACTCAGATCCCTTCCTCCACCGACGGGGGGTGTGCAGTGGAGAGCCTGGGGAAGGCTGTACTAGCGGCTAGGCGCCACCTCTAAGAGAGCCTTTCGTAAGGGCAGGTCCAGAATGAAAAGAAATGAGATGGCACGTTACTTCACTTTGGCTAAAGGCCATGATGAGAGGTGTGTCTTTAAGGTCACCCACCTGTCCACCTGTTCTTTGCTCATGGCAGCAAATGTGAAACACTCAGTTACTCCATTGATGGCAAGCAGGAGAACGTAGAGACAGTAAGTTCGCAGCAAAACAGGACCTGTAAGGAAACAACCCACTGAGCCGCCACAGCCCAAACGGGAGGCCCACACCCACCCTCAGGCTGGCGGGGTGGCCAGAGAACACCAGTAGGAGGTCATGAGCTGGTATCATCAGGGGCAAATGCATGCTCAAGCCTATGGTCTTAATGACCTGGAAGGACTCCTAGCATTCCATGGCACCGACTAAAACAAACAGCTAAAAACAAAAGGATACGTATGAATAAATGCATAGATCTCTTGCTTAACAGCTAAAAGCTTATCTGGCCAGCAAACAAATCTCGCTTTTTAAACCAGCACGGAGAGCCCTGCTGGCTGGAGCACTCGGGGCACGAGGGCTGCGCTAAGAGAACCTCCGTTGAAAAGGTCCTGAAGAAAAGACCTTGGGGAGAACAGGAGCAGCCGGCAGCTTCAGGGAGAGAACACCCACAAATCCGCAGGGAGACCAGAGCCCACCGTGTTATTTTTTTCTGTAACAAAGTAATGCAGCTCTATAGCTAACTAACAAGCTTTGAAAAAATCTGCTAACAAACGATCAGAAGCCTTAAAAATGGGACTGACCCCCAGTTTAAGAGGGCCGTTATCAAGAGACAGCCTAGCAATTGGTAATGAATGTAACATATGCCCAATCTGTGAGCCAGCAATACCACCCCTAGGTATACTTCCCACAGAAGAAAAATCACCTGTTCACAAAAACACTTGTACATAAATGTCCTCAGCAGTTTTACATAAAACAGCCCAAACCGACATCAATAGGCGAAGGATAAACTAACTGCGAGCCATCCATTCAAAGAGTCGGGAGCAGGGCAAGGAGATGAGGGGGAGTGGAGGCGAGGGGGAGGGGAAACGAGGGAAGGAAAGCTAGCAGGCACTCTGGGAGACACGCTGACCCTACCAGAAGCCACGATGGGCTTTACAGAGGCTCAGGTTTGGTCAAAATGAGAGGCAGCTATAATGCGGAGACAAGGCCAGAAGACCCTGCTGGGACATGACGCTGGTGCAGCCTGGCCAGGCAAGAGATGCCGACGGCCCTGAAGAATTTGGTGGCACCCCAAACCACAGGCTCTTTTCACAGACTAAGAAACCTGACCATTCTCAAGACTCTTCTCTGTGAAGAGGATACTGAGAATACCTTTTTGAGTCTAAAGTTATTAATGACTGTGACATAAACCATTAGAGGCATTTTACCTTAGAAATCAACTAACACTACCCTTTTAATTGATAAATGTTATTATCAAAGCTCAAACCTGGCACCAGCATCTCACTGAAGTAAAAGGACTACACATCCACAGTCGTTTGTTTATGTGTCTTCTGAGATTGATTACTCCTCTGGGTGAACATTCCATGGATGGGACAGCCTTCTCCTCCTGGCAACTCCTGGGATCACTACATTAAAGGCTGCTCCTAGGTGATCACCTTCCTAAAGGGGCAGAGCTGCTGTGAAACAGCTGAGTCCCAGTCTGCACAGACTCACTACTGGCTTCCCACTGAGGCCTCCCTGCAGCTGCCTGATAGAAACACACTTCTCCCAGCAGGAGCCCCAGGGAGCTGCACGCCTGGCACTGATTTCACAGCAGGAGTTTCTCCAAACTTAATGGCCTTTGTTCTTTTCCTAATACCGAAGTCTGGGCTCATCATAGCGGAGACTAAGCTACAGCGGAGACTACAGCATGCCCGAGGACTTACAAAATGGCAGCTGACAAAGCTCTTCACGTTGAGATGGGCCAGCAGAAAGAAGTCGTCAGGGTCCTTGTCTAGTGACCTGAGGGATGCAAAACCCCTCTGCTAAACCCAAGAGGAAACACTGCAATGGACTGCCAGCCTATGCCCAGCGCATTCTGAAAGTGGTGCCATCCAGGGCCGAGCAAGTGCTGCGAGATGCGTGGTGGCCAGGGCTCCCGGTCTTTCAGAGCTCGACACAGTCAATGCTTTCCTCCTTCAAACACCGAGTCACTGGACTATATGTACAATTTTATTTGCCAAGATCAATTTCATTCTCTGCAAGTGGCTCTGGGTTATCCTTCAAAGGCTTTTATGCATCAGGCTGTGAGATTTATGTTGTATTGACTATCTTCAGTGTGTTCAGTACCAAGTGGAGGCTCATTACAGCCTGCTCTCTGCCTTCCTCCCTCACCCTCACCGTATAAGGCCCGAGAAATCATTTGGTCTGGCCCTGCCAAGGCAATCGCAGGCGGGACTCGAAACTCAATAAATCTAGGAGCTTTTTTCATAGCAACATACATTTATATGAAGTGAGTCATATCCTATGGCCCTTGGCAAAAAAGGTTCCCACCCCTGCCCTGGAGGGGGCATATGGAAGCACCTGGCAAACCCAGTTTAGGCCTAAGAGGAAAGCCAAGGATTTTTTTTTTCCTAAAAGTTAATCCTCACCTGAGGTTTTGTTTATTTATTGGTTCTTAGAGAAAGGAAGGGAGAGGGAGAGAGGGAGAGAAACATCGATCATTGCCTCAGGTACACACCCCAACCAGGAATAGAACCTGCAACCTAGGTATGTGCCCTAAAACGGGAATTGAACCCGAAACCTTTTGGTGTATGGGACCATGCTCCAACCAAGCCACCCGGCCAGGGCAAGCAGGGATTCTTAGCAACTTCTTCAATGAGGTGGGGGAACAGATCCATCTGGTCTGACCTCCTATGAGGTGAAGAGTCCCACCCACAGCCCCGCCACTAACAATTCCCCCGACATGACACAGATTCAATGTGTGCGCACAAGCTCTTGAATTTCATAAGACCCTCTTATTTCTGTTCATTCTGTTCACAAATAAGAACACATCTGGCAACTCTTGTGCATACCTGATCCTGAGCTAAGCATGGCCCCTCCATAGATATCCAAAGCCAGCTGAGAGTAGGCAAAGCCAAAAACGGTGATGGTCAGGCCGGTGAGCAGGGCCAGCTTGAGCAGGGACTCCAAAACCGTGGCGGCCACAGCAACATCCTCCTGGTGCCGGGGAGAGGGAAGGAAGTTGGATGAATCATGAGCTAAAGGAAAGCCTCACATCTGGCCTCCCCTGTGCTGTTTCCTGGCCACTCCTTCAGTTAGTGAGGGCATCACTGCTTTCTGCAGCCCGCACTGTCTGTCAATCAGCAACAGAAGGAAAGGACAGTGTGTGCCTCCTTCGGGAGTGCAGGGGCAGCTTCGTGTCTAACTCATTTAGGATAAATTATGTCAAACGTTTCTTAGGAAACACTCACTGTCCCCTCTGATATTTATTCTTAAATGAGATAGCAATGTTTTGCACTGCTAGCTAGCTTTGCCTTTGCCAGTGTTCTTCTCCTGACAAACATCTCCAAATCCTGAGGTTCCTGTCAGTGCACTTGGGAAATATTCCTAAGTCAAATTGAGAATCAGATTAGCTCATTGTGAGATACTGTGCTTAAACTATATTTTGCAAAATGTCTAAGACATGTAAGAGGCCGCCTTAGCTTGCTTTTAATTCTAAAATAATAACCTTTTGGTGTATGCGACCAAACTCCAACATTGTGTTCAGTATCCAGACATTTTCAATGGCTTTAGAAAAGGGGAAGTTTATATAACCAAATGCTTCTGGATTAAAATCTCTTCTGTATTTACCAACTGGAGTATGTAGATTCTCACGGTCAGAATGTAGCTCTGGCCATTTCACAATCCTTAAGAAGCTTACACAACTGGTGTGGCGAGAGAAACCGAATGACCAGGTCCTCCCCTCCCCAGGTTCTCAGTCAGCCTTGCCCCAGTCTCTGAGTCCCTTGGCTCACCTCTGGGTCTTACACCCAAGACGAGACCAGAGAGGGGGTCTGTGCTGCGTTGGGGACAGCCATCGAGAGTTCTGAGAGGGCTGGGTCAAGAATAAGGCCAAAAAGAGGGACAAAAGGTGGAAAGAAAGGGCCAGCCAGTGAGAAAGGGAGAGGCTGTGAAAGAAGACATGCGCACAGGGTCCTGCCAGCATGCATTCAGAGTGCGGAGAACAAGCAGTCAAACTCACGGCCCACAGGCCGCATGCGGCCCACAACAAATGCTTTTGCGGCCCAGCCAACGTAACGGTAGGTAAGGAACGTCTTAATGAAAATTTTGTAATTTAATTTTTACAATATCCTGTTATACATAATTATTAATAACGAACTACAAGGTTAGCTAAGGACTGATTACTATAATCATGCTGCATTCATTTCCCTTATGTGCCTTACATGCAGGCGCACCATTTCTCTCCACTAATACTAGCAGTGAATATTTTAGCAGCTGATTGCCACGTCATTAGTCTTGTACTGACTTGTTTGGTGTGCGCAACAGAAAATATTTCACTTTTGGAGAACAAGAAAAATAGGTTTATTTGCATTACGCTTATTAATTTGTGCAGTTATTCACTGTCTGGTAAGTTAATGTTCAAGAAAAAGTATTAATTTTTATTAAAATGTTCTATTATTTTATGTTAACGACTACTCATTTATTTCAACCCTTATTATTCAGCATGTCTTTATCAAAATAAACCTTTCTATGAAAGTTGAAGCTTTTGGTTTTTTGCGGCCCACATAAACTTAAACCTTGTTTGTTTGGCCCGTGTTAGCCTTTGAGTTTGACATGCTTGGTGTAGAAAAATGAAATCTAGAAGGAAATTTCAGATCAGACAGAAGGGAAACAGACTGCTCCACATTTTTGTCTATTTATCTTGCAATTAGAGAGAGAGTTCATTTGAGATGGTGACATAAGAACCAGGACTACCTGCTTCTGAAGTGTGGCATCCTTTTCTCTCTCCAGCACCTTCGCAAAGAATATATAAAAACTCTCCTCTATTGGCTGGAAAATTAATCTGGCCACAAGGGAGCCAAGATTATTCACTATATCATATACACCTACAAAACAAAAGGAAGAAACAGCAATCCTACTGGGGTTTCCTCTGAATTTTCTCAGCACTATTAACTTTTTATCTAATTCAATTTTTAAAACTTTTTGATATAACTATAGTCACGTGTAGTTGTAAAAATAATAGATCCAGTTTCCCTGAGAGTAACATCTTGCAAAACTCGAGTACAATGTCACAACTAGGACAATGACGTTGAAATTAAGATACAGCCCAAGCCAGTTTGGCTTAGTAGATAGAGCGTCAGCCTGCAGAATGAAGGGTCCCAGGTTCAATTCTGGTCAAGGGCACGTACCTCAGCTGTAGGCTCAATCTCTAGCCCTGGTCAGGACATGTGCAGGGAGCAACCAATTGATGTGTCTATCTCACATCAATGTTTCTCTCTCTCTCTCTCTCCCTCCCTTCCACTCTCTCTAAAAATCAATGGAAAAATATCCACGGGTGAGGATTAATAACAACAAAAGATACAGAATACTTCCTTCACCGGCACTTTTCTATAAAAGTCATTAGAACCACATGGATTTTTTCCTATTTTTATTTCCACTACTCCAAGGTTATATTAAAAAAATAAATATGAAAAAATTGAGCCCTAGAAAGTGCTGGGGGATTGACAGCAAATCTCCAAACCAGTTAAAAACCAAATAAAACCAAATCAATAAAACCAGTCTGGTAAGCTGTTTTTAAGTACACCTACACAAGCATGGGGTATATCTTTGTAACTGTGATGATGAGCTCCCTTTTCTCTCTTCTTAGCACCTCCCACCCCCAAATGAGCGTCAGAGCTCTGCGGAAAGCAGGGTAAGGCAGGATCTCAACAGAGAACCTGCCACCCAGGTCGCAGGAGAAGGGAGAGTCAGTACACTGTATATATTTATAAAGGCCTACAATTTTCAATCTTCAGGATTCATGTTTTCATAATCTTCCTTTTATATAATTCCTAGGTTCATTTTCATTAATCATATCAAAATGCAAAGAAAATATTAGGAAGTATCTACTAACAGTATTCCCCTTTAATTAAAACACTACAGAATTTCATCTTACCCTGATCTCCAAAATTTAACACGTTCAAAAATGTCATCACATATCGCTCCCCTGCAAATAGAAAAGCAAAGTAATTAGCATTTTAACTGTACATTATTTTCTTGTTTCCTTTTCTTTTTTTTAAATATTTTTTTACAGAGAAGAAGGGAGAGGGATAGAGAGTTAGAAACATCGATGAGCCAAAACCGGTTTGGCTCGGTGGATAGAGCGTCGGCCTGTGGACTGAAGGGTCCCAGGTTCGATTCTGGTCAAGGGCATATACCTTGGTTGCGGGCATATCCCCAGTAGGAGGTGTGCAGGAGGCAGCTGGTTGATGTTTCTCTCTCATCAATGTTTCTAACTCTCTATCCCTCTCCCTTCCTCTCTGTAAAAAATCAATAAAAATATATTTAAAAAAAAAAAAAGAAACATCGATGAGAGAGATCGATCAGCTGCCTCCTGCACGCCCCCCCACTGGGGATGTGCCCGCAACCAAGGTACATGCCCTTGACCGGGATCGAACCTGGGACCCTTGAGTCCGCCGGCCGACACTCTATCCACTGAGCCAAACCGGTTAGGGCTGTTTCCTTTTCTCTTATCATCTATCAACTTTTCCTGTTGGCAAATATCTGAAAGGAGAAAAATTAGATAATTAAAGAAACATTCCTTGTCCTAATGTAGATTTCAAATAAGCTCAAAATAGTAGCAGCTTAGAAAGTGCTGGGGGATTTATTGACAGCAAATCTCCAAACCAGTTAAAAACCAAATAAAACAAAATCAATAAAACCAGTCTGATAAGTTGTTTTTAAGTACAGGGAGATTACTAAAATATTAATAATGAAAGTAATTGTCCCAAGTTTTAAGGGAGATCAGATGATGTGAGTGTGAATTCTATAAAACGAAAGGTCATGGTTATGAGCACAGACTCATTAAAAGTTTCCTCTCCAGGAGGAGAACGCTCCATGGAGGCCGGCAAGGCTCTGGAGCCCACGCTCATGATTCAAATCTAAGCCTAATGCCTTCACGGAGAAGACAGGGCCCAGAGCCCTACTCCCCCACCCCCAATTTTCAGATTATCTGTGAATGGAAAGCACTGACCATTAAGGCGATAAAACACCGAGGAGTGCCCATAGCCCTACAGAGCAAATTCTCACCTCCTAGCAACTTGCTAAAAATAAAAAGAAAAAAAAAGGCAATATTAGGAGACTAGAAGCAGCGGTCTCTGAAGTCTCTCTGGCCCTTGCCTCCCTACAATCTCCCAGCCACTGCCCTGAGCAGGGACCTCCATGGTCCTCTCAGGCACGGGCCAATGGCTGAATTCACTCCCATCTGCATCTCTGCACTACTCCAACCATCCTCACCGCTAACAGTTCCAGCTTTTGCAAATCTAGCTCTTCAGTCAATCCCTGCTTTCACACCTTTAAATGGCCTCTTAATGTCTGCAAAAAAGTCCGGGCTCCTTAATTCTGAATTTGGAGCCTTTTATAAACTATCCCCAAGCTATATTTTTGGCCTCCCTTCACCAACCTCATCCCCACCTCCCATCAAACCATCATCCTCAGCTACATCCTACCAGGCTTTAGCCTCTCCAGCTGCTCTGAGTCAGGCTGGCTCGTGGCATTCTCACCACCTAGGATGGCATTTCTGCAGGGAACTCCTTGTGTTCTGCCACAATGGGCCTCTCCCTCTCCACTCTGTAAGCTCCCTGAGGGCAGGAACCCTGTCTCGGTCATCTCCATTTCCCTGGTTTCCTAGAGGAGCACCAGGAAGTGAGAGGACACACAAGAGATGTCTGGCGAATGAGGTCACGTTTCCAAGTACAGTCCTCGCAGCTCTGAGTCAGAGTTAACCACACAATTGTGCCTCTTTGGTGAGAGAATGAGCTCTTTAAGCTCGTGGCCTGCTACTCATCCATCTGTGTATTCTCAGCACCTGGCACGCAGTGTTCAGGAAATGTGGGGGCAGAAGGTAAGAGCATACTCATTTTTTGCTATTACAATGAATGATTTCAACTTTCTCAGAGCTGTAGCTTTGAGAGAAAAAGAATCTGGGAGTCCTTGTCAAGCCACTTCCTTATTTCACAGCCATGGAGATGGGAGGCCCTGAGAAGTTCCTAATGGCCCTCTGCCAGTCAGGCCAGGGCGGCCCAACCGTGGAGTGAGCAAGCACTCGGTGCCCCCTCCAGGCCCCACTCAGGAGGCTTGAGTGCGTGGCTAGCTTCATCTGCTGCTACCAACACATGTCCAGCCACTGCAATCCAGAGAACCAATTAGCACCACTGCTTGGACTGGATCCATTCCTCAATTCATTTAAACTGCTCTTAAAACTCTGGGAGGAAAAAAGTACACAAGGTGAACTAACAATAAGGTGAACTGTCACAAAACACAACTGCACTACGGACACCTTTCTTTACCAGCAAATACTTGCTGAACACCTATCATGTGCAGGCCCAGCAGGGTGCTGGGGAGACAGTGGTGAACAGCACCTTCCAGCTCTCAAGAAACTCATAGTTAAGGCACCTCCACTCAGCTCTCCGAAGGCTTCGGATCCTTACTTCCTAGAAGTTCTGCCAACAGTTTCACTTTGTAATGGCAATGTTACAGGCTTAGACCAGAACCATGCACTCTCAAAGCTCAGAGAGCCTCAGACACCTCCTGTCCTACCCCTTAACTCAGATGGGACAAGTGAGGCTTACAGGGAGTTATTTCCCTTTGGAAGTATAATTAGTTAAAAATGAAGAGAGAGGGGGGAGGCCTGGCTGGTATAGCTCAGTTCGTTGGGCGTCGTCCTATGCAGTGAGGGGTTGCAGGTTTGATTCCTGGTCAAGGCATATGCTCAGGTTTTGGGCTTGATCCTCAGTAGGGGGTGTGCTGGAGACAGCAGATTGGTGTTTCTCACGTTGAATTTTTTCTTTGTCTCTCCCTTCCTCTCTCTCTAAAAATCAATAAAAATATATATTTTTAAAGATAGACGGGGATGTGTGAAGAAAAATAATCTATATATAAAAAAACCAGTGACCGGAAAGCCGTAACAACCAGAACGACCGGTCGCTATGACGCCCACTGCAGCCAGCGAACCAGCCAGATCTGGGGATGGGGCCAGCCCGCCACCCTCCTGCAGCCCCTCTCCCTGTCCAGCCCCACCCCAGATGGGCCCCCTCAACCTGATCAGGGGCAGGGCTGGCTGGCCAGCTGGCCAACTGCCTGTGGCCCCTCCCGCCAGCCAGACCCGCCCCCAATAGGCTTCCTCCACTCCGATTAGCCCATGGCCCCTCCCCTAGCTAGCTCCGCCCCTGATTGCCCCCCCCACTCTGATCAGGGGCCGGCCGGCCCACCGCCCACAGCCCCTCCCCACCCCCAATCTGCCCCCACCCCATCAGCCCGCGGCCCCTCCCCCAAGCCAGCTCCACCCTGATTGCCCCCCCACACCAACTGGGGTGGGGGCTGGCCAGTCAACCGCCCACGGCCCCTCCCCCAGCTGCTGACCCTCAATCGGCTCCCCACCCCATTTGGGGGTGGGGCTGACTGGCCCACTGCCCACAGACCCTCCCCAAGGCTGGCCCTGCCCCCAATCGGTTCCCCCCAACCCCAATCGGGGGTGGGGCCCGCCAGCAAATCGCCCACGGCTCCTCCCAGACCCTCCCGGCAGCTAGCCTGGCCCTGATCAGCTGATCAGGGTACGCCAGCCAGCCAACCTCCCACCGTCTCCTCCTCCCAACAGGCCCGGGCCAGATCTCACCCGTGCATGAATTCGTGCACTTATTGGAAACTTTTTGTTTTCCCAAATTTTTGCAATGGAGTTATATATTTTTATAATTAAAAGACAATTTTTGAAAAGTTTTAAAAATATGTTCAGTATTCGGTATACAGGTGTATAGACATATGAAACTTATGTAGAGAGAGAAAATACTACTTTCAGCAGCTTACAGCTACCTCAAATCTCATTCTTTGAACTAAATCTGGGTATAAATAAACCAATATACATACACAGAAAAATTAGATGTATGTATGCTTAGCTCCTCTCTGCATCGAGAGGTCTATCACTGTTACCCTGGAAAGCCTTAGAAAAGTGGAAGGCTGGCCAAACTATTACAAAGGTGAATCTTACTGTTTAAGAAAATAAAATGATGAAAACCTGGTTCTTTTTCTTTACAAAGTTCAAAAAAAAGTGTATAAAAAGGGATAGGATAATGAGTCTACAGATTTTTCTATAATTGATATAATCCTTTTATGATACATTTATTTAAATGACATAACATGGGGTTTTGCAGATAGACTTGGATTCAAAATTAATTTATTTCTCATTACTAAAAGGCCCCGAAGAAGTTACATAACCTCACTGACGCTCAGTTTCTTCATCCACAATAAACAAAGACAAGTAAGTAAAGTATCAAGCTAAGCAGATGCTAGGTTCCCTCTCCTTACATGAGAAGCCCCGTTTCTGAGGTCCCTCTGCCCAGGGCTGTGGACAGCAGGAGGCCGGGATGGGATCCCCTTGCTTATGCTATGGCTTCCTAACTGCTCAGGATAACCTTTTACTCACCTTCTGTCAAAATCTGTTTCAAGAAAGACTGTTTGAAAAAACTCCAAGTCAATTTAGCCTCTGTCCAATTTACAAAAGCCTAAAAGAGAAAACAAATAAAAACATCCCAGGCACTGCACGTCTAAGAGTACATTAATGCTACAGGAGAGGCAAATTCATTTTGGTCCCTAAATCCCAACTTAGATAGTCCCCACTGCTTTTTCATTTAATGCTAAGCACACAGAGACATCCCACAAATAATGGCAAAGAATTTACATTCCTAAACACGAAGACAAAATCTCCAGGTAGAACAGTCCTCCTGTCCGACACACACCTGTAAGGGGCCTGCCCAGGATTCACGCACAAAGGCCAGACCCGCCCCACCTCTCCAAAAGGCTAGCTGTAGCTACAGAAGTTAACGCAAGGAACCTGTCCCATGGGCCCCTCCTCTTGGCCCAAAGTCCACCCGTTAGAGCAACGCTACCCAGTAGAAATATAATGCAGGCCACATACATAATTTTAAATTTTCTAGCACCACAGTGAACAGTAAAAAAAAAAAAAAGGTTAATTTTATATATAATAAGTTAATTTAAATATATTTAACCCAAAATATCATCATTTCATCACGTAAAAAAATATTAGAGGCATTTCACATTATTTTTTGTACTAAGTTTTAATCCAGTGTGTATTTTTCACTTAGAGCTCACCTCAATTCCAAATGCTCCATAGCCACACGTGGTGTTTACTACTTAGCACAGGGCAAGTCTAGAGTACCCCCTGAAAGCAGGGGTCATTTCCAGTTCTCAAATCTCCTCTCCCCTGGTTTCAGAGCCTTTCTTCCAGGCACTGCAAGGGCAGGCCTGACCCTCCCAAACTACACTTCCTCCAGGGCACCACTGGGCCTGGAGCAGATGCCAGGGGCAGCTCTAGTTCAGGAGTAAATCTTCCCAGGGAGAAGGAAACTGGGTCACTCCTTTCCCCAGAACGAAGAGCGCCAGACTCGCTACCACCACCAGGGGGCACTGTGGGCCACATCATGTTTGGGGCAGTGATCCCGCGGATAGGAGCTTTGGGCAGGACACCTCTCACGTTCCCCATGCCAGGTGATCCTCTGGGGGGCTCTCCCCAGCACGACCTGTGCTCTTTACAGGAAACAGTTACAGCTGGCCCACGAGGCTCTTCTGAAGCCTACTTGCTGGTAGATTGTGAATGGGAAGATGGCTGAGTTATTTTTAAAAATTTCTTTAGGAGAGTAAAATCTCTATATGATACCTTGTACTTTAGCATTTCTTTCTCCCAATGCCTTCAATTTAAACAGACCCATGCCCCAGCGAGTGGCTCAGTTCAGGGTACTTGCAGGAGGCAACCAATTGATGCTTCTCCCACATCAATGTTTCTCACCCTCTCGCTTCCTTCCTCTCTCTTTCTAAAAAAATCAATGAGAACATGTCCTTGGATGAGGACTAAAAAAAAAACAAATAAGTAAATTAACCCATGGTTCGGAAGGAATGGCTACACTGCTTACTATGTCCAAAATGCTCATTAGGAATAAAGAGACAGGAAGTCTGATTAGGTTTCTTCTCAGAGGTGTCTGCTAAGCAATAGAAAAGAAGTGCATTCTTTGGGCTTTTAGCATTCTCTTCAGAATGGATTTGTCACGTGGGATGGTCAAAAGAGGTCTATTTCACAAGAGGTAGGCTGGTACTGCTGAGCTGGTCTACAGGCCATGAATTTCCCTGCAGTCCCCTGACCACCAAGCCATTCCACTGCCTCACTGCACTGATGGAGAAACTGATGGTGAAACGTGATGGGCAGTACCTCCAGGGAAGGTCGGGCACCAAAACTCTGGGGCTCACTCTGCTTTAATCTGAGTCACTCACCTCTGCCCACCCAGGTGTCAAGGCCCAGATCAAAAGCAGCTTCCTCCATGAAGCCTTCCTCGATGCTCCCAGATGGAATTTACCAGTTCTTCTCTGTGCCTCATTTTGTTAACACCAGATGCACGCGCATACACACACACACACACACACACACACACACACACACACACACACTGTCTGTCTGTCTTGTAGTGCAGTTAGCTGAATACACATCTTAACTCCCTACCACAATGCAAATTCTGAAGGCAGGAACCCTATTCAGGGCACCTAGTACAGTGATTAACACAGAATACTGCTAAATACATGCTTGCTGGGTTAAATTCCTCAGCTTTACTTAAATATTAGCAGACCTCCCGTATTAAATCACTCAGAAGTGTGGAGAATATAAAAGACATATATGGGCAGTCATTATTTGAGGATCATAATTTAAGACTTAGTAAGTACTTTTAAAAAGATGGAGTTCTGTAAGAATTGGAAAGAAATCTCCCAACTTGGTCAAACTGAGTTTGACCAGTTTCATAGGAGGGAGCCCCCAAGTGCAGAAAGCTGCTCCAAAGAGTCAAGTTAGGCATATTGCGAGTGGTAATGTCATCCACTGGATTAAAAATTCATCTTCTTTCTCATCTCTTAAAAAAAAACTTGAATACTGAATCCTTTTACCTGGAACTTCCAAATCTTTAAGTAAATAACTAACTAATTGGGGCAGTAAGCCATTTCTTTTGCAAAACTACATAGCGTAGAGGTTAACACTATGGAACTAGACAGAAGTTAGAGAGAAGTGGATCCTAAACCCGCTGTGTGATTTTGGGTGAGTCACTTAACTTCTCTGAACCTGTTTTCTCCTCTGTAAAATGGAAGGAGTAGAATGTATTTCACAGGACACTATGAGGATTACAGACAACCATGTAAAGTGCTCAGCACAGTGCCAGGCACATGCAGTTAGGGCACTTATTATATATCTGGCTCTTTGCCAAAGTTCCAATACGTTCACAGAATTCCTTAAGTCTTCAGAGCGGCCTCACAGCACATGCAGCCCAACGACCTCACCTTTAACACAGGACTCGAGGTCTGCAGAGTCCTGCAGGCTTCACCTCTGCAGGTACTGCCTCCCAAGGGCACAGGCAGCCTCTGAGGCCCAGCAATCACCACCCTGTATGTCTATATCCCGGCCAGCAGCCAGCAGGGGCTGTGCTGTTTGTCAGCAGGAACAGAGCCACGGTGTGTGACAGGTACACACAACCTTCTCGTGGCCAAGGCTCTGTCCCAGCAGTACGAGCATGGGTACCATAGGGAAAGACTGCAGGTAACACCGCTGCGCTCTCACGCCGATGCCACCGCGTCTGCCTGGCGAGGACATTTCAGTGGAGCTAGTGCTGCTCTCAGGGCAGCAGTGTGACGGTGATGATGGTATCAGCTGTCACTATGGTCACCCAGTGGGGCCAGGCCAGGTTCCACACCTTACATGCCCCATCTCATCTGACTCTCACAACCACGTTAGGAGGGATGGGCTCTTATCGCCATTTGACAGATAAGGAAATGAAACTTGGAGTTCTGAGCCCATCACAGGGTTAGTTACACACCTGACAGACTCATTACCCTCTCCTGCCTGTACTAATGGTCCAAATACTCCTTCCCAAAATACTGCCAGGGGCAGGGGCTGGCCCAGTGGTTCAGCTGGCCAGGCCGGGACAGGTGGGCCCCGGGGAGCCTCAGGGAGGGACTTTCCTGCATGCTCAGCCCCACTGGGGCAGGTGGCAGAATGAGGCCCTGTGGTATCCCCAAATTACCATGTTGCTTTAGATTAAAGGTAAGATCTAGTAGATCAGAATGGAGAACTCTTATCTAGCAAATCAGAACATATCTGGCTTTTCTTGAAAAGTTGTAGAGCGAGATTCCGTAAGTTCTGAGACTAAAGTCCCAAATATTTTACAGCTTTTTAAAGTAGCCCAGCCGGTGTGGCTCAATGGTTGAGCACTGACCTATGAACCAAAAGGTCACAGTTCAATTCCCATCAGGGCACACGCACTACTGGTTGTGGGCTGATCCTGCAGGAGGCAGCTGATCAATGATTCTCTCTCATCACTGATGTTTCTATCTCTCTTCCCTTCTCTGAAGTCAATAAAATTTTAAAAAATAATAAAGTAATCACAAAAGAGAAGTCCAGTTAAAGCCTTACCTCAACTAAGCGCACCACATGTAGCCAGCCACCAGGCAGGGGAAGAAGGAAGCAGACCAGCCCGGAACGGAGCGGGGCACGAAGCAACTGCGCAGAGGCGGTGCAGTATGGCATCACCCTGCAGCTCCAGGCCACAGGCAGCAGCACTGACCCAAGAGTCAGGAAATGAAGGCCAGATGGACCAAGAGTTGGAGAGTTGAGTAGAAAAAGACTATGCTTGGCTTCCACACATTAGCATCCTCAGAGGATGACATGGGAAAGTGGGTCACCTCAGAGAGGCCTGACACTAGCTGAGGGACTACGCAGGGGTTGTCCCTGCTTTGTCAGCACTCTGGAATGTCTGTGCCAGAGGCTAGCTCTGGGGAAAACCAAGCAACAGCAGGACAGAGAGTGGAACACAGTGGTTATAGCTTGTGGTCTGCTGGGATCCAAGCCACTCCAGGGTACTGTCCTCGCTCTGACCTTCACCTTGGACAGGTGTTTAGTCACTAAGCCTCAGTTCCTCAACCGTAAAATATAAACAACAGTGTCCGCCTCACAGAGTTGTTATACCTAAAGGCATGTAGAGTACTTGGCACAGGACCTAGCACATGGGTTCTCAACTGGGGACAATTTTTGTCTCCGAGGGGACGTTTGGCAGTGTCTGGGGACATCTGGCAGTGTCTGTGGTTGTTATAACTGGGCGGTGGTAACTACTAGCATCTAGTGGGTAAAAACTGAGAATGTGCCTGGCCAGTGCAGCTCAGTGGTTGAGTGTCAATCTATGAACCAGGAGATCACTGTTCCATTCCTGGGCAGGGCACATGCCTCGGTTGCTGGCTCGATTACCAGCTGTGTGTGTGTGTGTGTGTGTGTGTGTGTGTGTGTGCAGGAGGCAGCCAATTGATGATTCTTTCTCATTATTGATGTTTCTATCTCTCTCTCTCTCCCTCTCCCTTCCTCTTTAAAATCAATTTAAAAAAATTAAATTAAAAATAAATCAAGAATGCTGTTCAGCATCCCACAATGCAGAGGACAGCTCCTAAACAAAGAATTATCCAGCCCAAAATGTCAATACTGCCAAGATTTAGAATCCCTGGCTGAACACATAGCAAGCACTCAAAAGATATGAGCTACTGAATTATCTTTACTATTCTAATAATAATAAACAATTTATAGTTTCTTTCTCTCAAGGATAACCAACATCTGTGATTAAAATGATAAGAGACAAAAATATATTACTTACTCTACTTCTCAGAATACTGGGTAGCAGATCTGTCATTCTGGAGACAGGAAGAGTTTGTTGCTTGGTTGATTTTGGGAAACCCAGTAACTTTTTGAAATAAGTAACATAGCAGAGCACCAGAACTGTAGTATAGAAAACCTGGGGGGAAAAGAAAAGAATGGGTTTAAATTGCACTTTTTAATATAGTCCTAATTAAGATATGCTATAAATTTGACCTCAAAGGTCAATCAAGAAACAGAACAGTCTTAATTAACTGCACCTTCTGGTCTATCCACTGAGACCCAGCAGCCGCGGCATCACCGGGGAAAGTGTTCCACGCACTTCACCTGACTGGGCAAGCAGAACACAACTTCCAGACAGACATCCACTAGCGCCAACTGCCACACCACTGTCAGACACGTTCTCGAAGGCTTTGCATTTGGCCCAAAAGCGGCTCTCCCGCCTGACAGCACACTGTGAGGATCCATGTGTCCTGTCTGGACACATCCAGGCACTGGGGAATTTCCATAGACCCCGGAAACCTGTCACATTATGATTACAAGGCAGAACTGAGCTGCTGGGTCTCCCCTCTCTGCCCAGTGCGTGGGCAGGGCAAGAGCTGTTAGAGCAGTGGTTCTCAACCTTGGCTGCACATTAGAATCACCTGGGAATCTTTTTAAAATCCTGATTTCTGGGCCTCATCCTCCGGAAATTCTGTTTTTTTGTTACTAATGTTGTGGCCTCACCCCATAACAAAGAAACAGAATTTCCGGAGGATGAGGCCCAGAAATCAGGATTTTAAAAAGATTCCCAGGTGATTTTAATGTGCAGCCAAGGTTGAGAACCACTGTGCTAGAGGATGGGGAGGGAAAGGTGGGATGATAAGAGAGCCCACACACCTGGGATGAAGGATGGCTTTAGGCCAGGAGCAGCAGCCGGGGTTTTATTTGCAGATTGGGGAGGAATATTCAAAGTGGCCCCTTTCGCAAGCTCTCTTCTCCCCTCTCTCCCCCTAAAAAGAGCTCAAGAAAAAATGGGGCCTCCAGGCCCCCTTTCAATCTGGAAACACTTCTAAGAAAGGCACAGAGCAAGGACAAAGAGGAGTCTCCGATTAGCAGGTTCAGGCTCCTCTGCTACCCATGCCTGCCCCATCCATGCCTGAGAACACAGCCCACCATCCACTACCTTTTTTTTTTTTCAGTTTTATTGAAAAATAATGGACATGCATCACTGTATGTCTTACAGCATGATGGTTTGATTTACACATATTGTGAAATAATTACCACAATAGGTTCAGCTAGCATCCACCTTTTCATATAGACACAATAAAAAGAAAAGGAAAAAATGTCTCCTTGTGATGGGAACTCACAGAATTTACTCTCTTAATAACTTTCCTATCTATCATACAGCAGTGTTAGCTATAGTCATCATATTGAACATTACACACCTAGTTCCTATTTATGTGATAGCTGGAAGTTTGTACCCTTTGACCACCTTCCAATTCCCCCCATCCTTCTCCCTTCATGCTGCAAGCCAGCCTAAGACACAGCAGCACTGCTGTGCGCCACACCACCTGCTGCCAACATCCTGAGATAAGTACCCTTTTCCAGCTCCCTTCCCCGCCTCGCTTCCTCTTCCCACTGAGCAGGCCTGGGGAAACAATAACAACCTGTGGCAGGTCTTCATGCAGCGTATCCTAACTACATGATCCCTCCCCTTTATTTCCATTGAGGAAAATTCACATAACCTAACACTGACTGTTTTAAGCATTTTAAAGCGTACAATTCAGTGGCTTTTAGTACATTCACAGTGTTGTATAACCACCATCACTATCTAACTCCAAAAGGAAACTCTGTACCCATTAAGCACTCACCCTCCATTTCCCCCAGCCCCTGGCAACCACTAATCTCTTTGCCTCTGGACTTGCCTATTCTGGGTATTATATATATTAATGGAATCACACAGTAGGTGGCCTTCTGTGTCTGGCTTCTTCCGCTTAGGATAACGTTTTGAGTTCACCGTGTGTTTTATTTTTATGGCTGGACCATATTTTATTGTATGGATACACCACATTTTGTCTACCCATTCATCAGTTGGGCATTTAGGGTGCTTCCACCATACAGCTATTGGGAATAGTGTTGCAATGAACATCCGTGTACTAGTTGTTTGTACACCTGTTTTTAATTCTTTGGGGTATAAACCTAGAAATGGAATTGAGGGGCCTTTTGGTAGTTCTACATTTAACTTTTTAAAAACATATATTTTTATTGATTTCAGAGCAGAAGGGAGAGGGTGAGATAGAAACATCAATTATGAGAAAGTATCATTGATCAGCTGTCTCCTGCATAACCCACACTAGGGATTGAGCCCCCAACCTGGGCATGTGCCCTGACCGGAAATCGAACCACGACCTCCTGGTTTATAGGTCAACACTCAACCATTGAGCCGTACAGGCCAAGCTACATTAAACTTTTTGAGGAATTGCCAAACTGCTTTACACAGCGGCTGCCCCATTTCACTTTACCACCAGCAACTTATGGGGGCTTCCGATTTCTCCATATCCCCACCAACACTTGTTTTCTGTATTCTTTTGATAACAGCCATCCTACTGGGTGTAAAGTGGTATCTCTGTGGTTTTGATTTACATTTGCCTAATAACTAATGATGTCGTGCATTGTCTCATGGGCTTTTTGGCCATTTATTTGTCTATCTTCTTTGGTGAAATGGCTATTCAAGTCCTTTACCCACTTTTGGTGGTTTGTCTTTTTGTTGTTGAGCTATACGAATTCTTTCTATATTCCAGAGAAACCCTATTATTTGACATCTGATGCCATGGGGTGAGGGGTTATTTGAGGAGGAACCTGGAAGTGGGTTGGACAAAGGGAATCCCAGGGTGTTGGTTGTGGCTTGACTGCTGACATGAGGAGCTGTTGGTTCTTAGACTTCTGACACATAAATTGACAGAGAATGTACCAGTGAAGAACTCTCAGAAGTCTATGATAAGGAAGCAAATAAATTCAGTACTGGCCTTGCTGACTATGACCTACATATGACATATCCTGGGAGGGAGCTCATCGGAAAGTGACAATGAAAGTGCCTTTCCCAGGAAGAGTCAACCAATAACTGGGTGCCTGTGTGGCCCTCCTGTCCTATTAGGGAGGAAGCATCAAAAAGTATGAGAGCCCAGCTGATGTGGCTCAGTGGTTGAGCACTGACTCATGAACCAAGAAGTCACCGGTTCAATTTCTGGTCAGGGCACATGCCCAGACTGTGGGCACATGCAGGAGGGTCTCTCTTTCATCGATGTTTCTATCTCTCTCTAAAAATCAAAAACATATTTAAAAAAAATAAATTAAATTTTTAAAAAAAGTATGATGAATGCTGAGACTATAGTTCTGGAGCTAATAAAACAAGGCAAAAATAATCACAAATAACTTGTCTAAAATATGCAATTGTTTTCAAACTGCTTTTAGGAGGCAATTCTCATTCTTTTTAAATTTTACTTTATTTTATAATTCTTTATTGTTCAAAGTATTATATATGTCCCCCCTTTTCCCCCACTGACCCCCTCCAACCCACCCCCTGCCCCATCCCAGGCCTTCAGCACCCTATTGTCTGTGTCCCGTGGGTTATGCATAGAAGCATACAAGGTTTTTGGAAGATTACTTCCCACCCACCCACCCTCCCCCCAATTCTCATTCTTATTCTATTAATTTTAAATCTAGCTCTTCTATGTTGCACAAAAATATTTGTAGTTTTTGTCTAGAACATGGAAAAGGTTTTGACATAAATCATTACTAAAAATTTTAACTTATCTTCCTATACATTAAGAAAAAATTACAAACTGCTTTGCACTATAAGATGTTCTGATAACTATCTGATCTTAGGTTTCATTTTTTAAATTGGCACTTGTACTCTCTTATATTTAATTAGAACTAGAAATATGAACTAGAACTAGAAAAGATAAAGTGGAAATGAAACCCAAACTACCAAAACTAAAACTGAACCTACTAAAACTTGGTTCGTGCCCTCTGAATTATGTGAGTTTTTAAAAAAAATATGTTTTTATTGATTTTTTTTATTTTTAGAGAGAGGGAGAGATAGAAACATCAACATCAATTGGCTACCTCCTCACACCTGGGTATGTGTCCTGACTGGGAATCAAACCCGTGACCCTTTGGTGCATGGGACAACCCTCTAACCTACTGAGCCATGTGGCCAGGGTGGAGATTTTAATTTAAGTTTAAAACAAAAGTGTGGCTAAATTGGTTGAAGTGTTGTCCAGTGCACCAGAAGGTTTCAGATTTGATTCTAATCCATGTATCTCTCTCACATTGATGCTTCTTTCTCTCTCTCTCTCTCTCTCTCTCTCTCTCTCTCTCTCTCCTTTCCCTGCCTTCCTCCCTCTCTAAAAGTTAATCTAAAAAAAATAAAACAGACTTGGCAGAGTTTCCTCCTAGTATGAAAACAATTGATTGAAATCCAGGCAACACAACAGGCATGCAATTTGATTCCCACCTCATCCCCATACAGCTGTTTTTATCCTCCATAAGACAGCCAGACAATCAAAGATCAGTTTGATTTGGGCTTGCTGACAGAGTGTCTACAGGAGTTTTTATGTATGACCAAAGGGCCTCGTGTGTGGCCTTCACTAGGTCCCTGGGGACCAGGTGGGTCAGTGCATGGCACAGAGAAACATGGCAGCAGAGGAGCAGTGTCAAGACCATCCAGAGCTTCTAGCCTTCCTCACATGCGTAGATGTTCAAATTAAGAACGTAGTAATGGGAACAAGAAGAAAAACTCAGGTGGAAAAACAGATTACACAAAAGTGAAAGGCTGTAACTATTACCTGGGCCAAAGAGAAGATGTACAGTCCCCAGTGAGGCACCCACAGCACGAGAAAAGCTGTCAGTACACTCCTGAGGATTACCGACAGGCTCTCAGCAATCACCTGCAAGCATGTGGTAAAGAGCGTTACTTAGGACATTTAAAAACCATTTTAAAAGATGCAAAGAAATGACAAATAGAAAATTGGGGGCCAGCAGTTGCGCTGGCAGTGGGGCTGAGGCATGGGGTTGGACATAATTTTGGTAATGTCCTACTTGCATTGGGTTGTAGGCTCAGGGACCTCCAGTATGTTACCATGCTCTAAGATTTACAGGTATGTTACAGACACTCTTTTGTACATATCAAGTTATATGTTTTAAAAGATAAAGAGAAAAGTTAATATTAGTATACAACTAAAAATATAATTAACTGAAAAACAGTTAGAGTCCTCTTAAATTCTTATATAAACTAATACCTTTTCTATTAATTAACCTGTTTTTTCATTAATAGCATACTAGAAGTAAACTTTAGCTCAGCCTACCTGCCAAATTTCAAGTGAATGAACTAAATTTATCATATTACCTTTCGAGATGCAAGTCTGAAAAATATCATTCTCTACTATAAAGGTATTTTTTTTAAAAAAACATTCTTTCCCTTATTCTTTGCATTTCCCATTCACAGCAGAAGGCATACTGACCTTGAGCTTGACAAACATGTGTGCTTGTGCCAAGACCCAGAAGGGCTCTCCCAGAAGTTCCACCACAGCTGAGAGACCAAACACCACCACTCCAGTTCCATAGTGGGGGACGACATTAGGATCAGGCACTTCAAGCAACCGTAACCAGACCCAGCCCAGGAACAAGGACCAAAACACACCCAGAGGGACTCTAAAAATGGGGGGAGATGTTCTTTAATATGCTAAGTATAAAACTATAAATATATATTACAACAGTGATACTGTCTTGGTCGGTGGCTCAGTGGTTAGAGCAATGGCCTAATCACGAAAGGGTCTCAGGTTTTATTCCAGGTCAAAGGCACATACCTGGATTGCAGGTTCAATCCCCCGCCCCGTCATGGCGCATGAGGGAGGCAACCAATTGATGTCTCTGTCTCTCTCTCTCTCTCTCTCTCTCTCTCTCTCTCCTCCTTCCCTTTCACTCAATCAATGGGGAAAAAATATCCTCAGTGAAGATTAACAAACAAACAAACAAATAAAAATAGTAGCACTGAACAGAAAAGAAATATAGTTATAAGCATAAAAATAGCTAATTCCTATTAAGACACTTACTACATGCCAGGTGCTATGATTCACCCCCTTTGTCTCACTGATACCTCACAGTGATCCTGTCATTATCTCTACTTAAGTGATGAGACAACTAAGGCGGACAGGCACTGGGTAATTTGGCCAAAGTTATGAACAGTTAGTGAAGGGCAGAAGCGGGGCCCAATCCTGATCTGTCTAATGCCAGGCTACACTCCTATCCATTGTGTTACACTGACTCAAAAAGCAAAATTCCCCTGAAGTGTGTGCCTGCTGCTTCTACCTAGAATGACGGAAAGCCAGTATACGGCTGGTACTTACACCCAGATGGCCACTGATGCAGTGCACAGTATCCCTTCCCGTGGGTACCACAGAGCACTCACATATGACTGGGTAGTTAAGTCATTCCGCTAAGAAAATGAAAACCTACCAGCCCTTATGATTGCCATTTCCGTGAGGGAACAGGAGTTACGCAAGAGCAGCACTGGGAAACAACCTCAACCACCAGCCCTCCCTGCAGGGATTTAACTGCAGAAAAGCTATTACCATTGTTAGCTAATGTGCTTGGTCTTCACGAATATTCTGAAAGCCTCGGAACTGAAATCAACATAACAAAATTGAAGAAAGATATAATGAAACTCCTAAAAGGCTTTCAAAAAATACTAAGACTAAGTGGTTGTTAAAAGCTCAGAAAATGCCACAGGGGAAAAGATTAGGAATAAAAAAGATGGCCCAGGCCCAGGAGGACCCAGATTGGGGATCAGGAACAGCGGAAACAGCCTCCAGAAAGGGTAGAGCCAGGGCTGGAATCTGGCCCAGAAGCCCCCACCTGGAGCCTCCTCCTGGCTCCGGGCCACCAGAAGGAAAACAGCCCATGCCAAGTCCCCAGAAACCCACTGCAAAAGCAAGGCTGTGGGCTGTTTAACCGTTAAACTGTTGCTGTTGAACTTGTAATATTTGTTACCTCTGCCTTTGAAACTGTCTCCTGACAAGCAAAGCACAACTCACGTCAGCCACAGGAGGTTGATGGTCTGGCCCCAGTCTCGCTGCGTGCTCCCACTCAGACATGCTCTCCGGAAGGCCTCTCTGGCCAGGAAGATGGTGGTTGAGTAAAGCAGCGTTAGCCTGTAAAGGGAAAGCAGATAGTAAGAAGGTCTCTAGCTTTTTTATGGAGAGAATGTCTGAGATTTTACCAGCAACTGGGATGAAAAAAGCCTTGGTCACAAATCACTGGTGGTGATGTGGAAGACAGTTTTCACAGGACTCCTCACTGTCTAATCCACTCACACAACGACGTTAGGATCCAATTCTGGAACAGCCGAGTGTGTGCCTGCACGGTTATGCCTGGGGGAGAAACGGCCACAGTGGCCTCCAAAGCCTGCAGGCTCTGTGGCTATAAGCAGAGGTGTGGCTCGGACCATAAGGAAAAGGACAAGATATGACCCCACCCAGCAAGGGGACCTCTTGGTCACTCTGAGACTGGGGACCCAACGGCCCTTGTTAGAGAAGCTGAGGCTCTACTGAGTGGAAGCTCTGGCCAAGAATCTCAGGACAAGCAAAGAGGCTGGCAGCCACGACAGAGGCCACTGCAACCAGGGTAGCAAGCTTGCCTGTGTACCTCCGAGGCTGGCAGCACCAAGGTGACCCTCCTGCACCTTACTGAGGAGTAGCTGAGGTTTCCCTTCCTCAACAAGCCGTGGCCCAGATGAAGCCTGAGTGGGGATGGCCCAGGGCTACAGTTTCTGAGGTTGTCCAAGGACCATCCTGCTCCCAGTCAGTGGTTCTCAACCTGTGGGTCGCGACCCCTTTGGCGGTCGAACGACCCTTTCACAGGGGTCGCCTAAGACCATCCTGCATATCAGATATTTACATTACAATTCATAACAGTAGCAACATTACAGTTATGAAGTAGCAACGAAAATAATTTTATGGTTGGGTCACAACATGAGGAACTGTATTTAAAGGGCCAGAAGGTTGAGAACCACTGTCCCCAGTGCTTCTGTCCAACACTGCGGATAAGGAGACAACCATATGTTAAGCAGGGGGCAGGCCAGACAAGGGCTATCCAAGCAGGGACCTGCCAACCTGGAGAACAGATGGGGAGAGACCCAAACTGCTGTCAAGTCTGAGCACCCTAAGAGGATTTGGTCTTTTCCTTCCTGCTTTTAAAATCGTATTTCTCAAAGTATGGTCCCTACTTCCAAATCACCTGAGGAGCTTGTTGAAATGCCGATTCCTGGGCCCTCCTCAGCCCTACCTGGTGCAAAGCTCCCCAGGTAATGAGTGTGCCTGTCAGTGCCTGAGAACCTTCACTAGGCTGCGAGGACAGAGCCAAGAGCATATGTTTGGTAGTTATTAGATGTGAAACGCTGTCTGGAACATACTGTCTTGTTTATCAGGACATGAAGACACACCTGAGAAGCTGAGCTATTCCGCACACTCACATCCCTTCAGATACTTTTGTGTCATTTGTGAATACAGAATATGTGTGGGGTGTCCTCGAAGAGAAAGGAGGAGACAGGAAGAAACACAGAGTCTAAAAGATGAAGCCAGTCAGCTAAGAGCCACCATGGAACTAATGACAAGGACTCAAGCCATTATCCCAGCTACCATTTTCCATTGAACAAGTCACCCAGAGAGAAAATAACCACCGAGGGAAGGAAGGCGGCTGGTTGATTACAAAGCACATCCTCACGATCTGGAGGGTGCCTCCCTCCTTTGCCGTCAGCACAAGAACACAGAATTATACCTGAGAAGGGGTTTGCAGAGAATTACTCCCACTCCTATCCTGGGTTCTGAGAGCAGGCAAACAGGAAAAAGCTGGCTGGGAAATGTGCATTCGAAGGCTGCTAATGGAAAACACTCCATGGGTCCATTAAGAACAACATCCCCCGCTCATTCGCCCAGCAGCATGCTCCTCCGCAGCCGCTGCTAACACGCGGTGACTCCAGTAAACTTCCTTGCCTCTAAAACCCGAGGGTGACACTCAGGCACAGAGGAAAGCCTGACGAGGGATGTGAGCTGCGGACAGTGCCAGGGCGCAGCCCTTCTTACCTTACGTTCACTATGCCAACGATTTCCTTGGACAGAAAGCGAAGAATAAATGCATTCAAGGCAAAGGTGATCAATCGAAACAACACCTACAGAAAAAGAAGAAAAAGACCTAAGAATAAATTATGCCGGGAGTGTTTACTTTGCTGAAATGACAATGTGGCTGCTCTTCCTAACGTCATGACACACAGCGGCCTTGCCATGGAGACGCTTTCTAAAACACTCAACCTGTCTGCATTTCTTCCCAAAATGTCATTTCTTGGCGTCTCTTGACGCGACTGGGCAGTGGTCAAAGGACCCATCAGTAAACCCGAACTTCCTGATGAGAAGAGGGAGGCCCCCACAGACTCAGGGACTTTCTTTGGGTTCCGAGTCGGGCACTCCAGGGGGCAGAAAGAGAACTTCAGTTAGTGCTTCCCATTGCCCCTCCTTCCAGCCTGTTTAGAAATAGCAAGCACTTTGCAAGTGGGAGCCTGCAGGGTAGAGCAGACTCGCTAGTAATCATGGTGTCTAATTTCTCTTTCTTCTCTGCCTACTAGTATCTGGGGATTCTGATAATGACATTTAATCCCTTTGAACTTCAGTTTTCAATTAGAAAACAGAAAAGAATGTATTTATTTACTGACTGTTTGCCACCTTGCAGAGAGGAGTTAAAATACCTTTTAAATGACAACTGCAATAAGATATTTTAAAAGGGGGAGGGGTGGTTGGGAGAGACAGAGTCTAGCTAATGCCATTTGGAAGGACTATATCAGTTCAAGAAAACCCCCGTAGTAAAGAATTATTCCCTTGAGACAGAGAAGAACAGGCTACAGTTAAACGAGGTTACTAAATGGGGATGTGGCTGGGGTGCCCGCCTCACTCACTGACTCTTCCTCTGCGTCCCAGCAGCACCACAGGTGTAACTCAAGTGCACTTGAGCCCAAAAGGCAAATCACTTCTCTGTCAAGCACTCTGAGTTACCCATGCACAGCTGCAGTCTTAGTAAATCCAGGTATGCCAACGAGCTGCTAAAGTCTGAAAATCCCCGGGGAGCGGTAAGGCCTAAAAGGGAGAGTGCAATTCAACACTGCCCCTGAAGTGCCACAGAGCAGCACGGTCTCCAAAGCCGGTATCACAATCTTAACATTTGTAAAGTCAAATGTGACCTTTTGTGAGTCTGCTGAAAGCTCTCCTTAGAAATATGCAGGTTCATACAAGGGTGGACAAAAGTAGGTCTACAGTTGTGAGTACACAAAAGTTTATTCCTGTATTATTATTTATTAATTATTGCATAACTTATTTGTAGTACAACTGTAAACCTATTTTTGCCCACCCCTGTAAGTACATACACACCAAATTCTGTATCCCGTTTTAGAGGTTTGAAGCCAATTCAGAGCTGTTAATGGAAAAAAGCATCCAGCTGAAAATCTCGTCACCATTTAATTGTTCGCCCCATCATCCTCTAATGCAGCGGTTCTCAACCTGTGGGTCGCGACCCCGTTGGGGGTCGAACGACCCTTTCATAAGGATCGCCTAAGACCATCGGAAAACACATACATAATTACATATTGTTTTTGTGATTAATCACTCTGCTTTAATTATGTTCAATTTGTAACAGTGAAATTGGGGGTCACCACAACATGAGGAACTGTACTAAAGAGTCGCGGCATTAGGAAGGTTGAGAACCACTGCTCTAATGTTTATAAGCCTCAATTTCCTTCTCTGTCAGACGATGCCTTTCTCATAGGATTGATAACAAGGATCAAACAAGATTGTGTAGGTAAAAGCATTTTTGAAAAATGCATACAAATAAAAGGCATTAATACTTTCACTATGGCCAGCTCAGAGTTATGACAGAGAATAAACTCACATTCTTGCAGGTTTACAATATAATTGCAAGGCTACCTCAAGTGTATGCATTGTAAATTGAAAAAACATACCAGACTGAATTAAAACACTCAGGTATCTAAAGATTATGGCTATTTTTTAAAAACCACGTACACATGTTTATATTAACTTCATTATCCTTGTCTAAGAAACCTAGTGCCTCAGGCTTTTCCCTATCTCTTAAGTGAACAAAAGTTTGAGCTAATGAAGCTCTAAGGTTGCTCATGCTACCCAGTATTTGCTCCACATAGAGGCCCTTATTAGTAAGTCTTCACTTTGTAAAGGAATTTACAGTTTTAAAAAAGCTCTTTCATCCCTGTTCATTATTTGACCCTTAAAACTGGGTGAATAAATGCACAGGAAGCAAGTTAAGACTCAGAGCAAAGTTGACTTGCCCAAAGTCACTATGTCCATTTAAAAAAATTCTAAACCATAACAAAAATAATTAAGTTACTAAGCACTTATAATGTGCCAGGCATACACCTGACAGTTCACCTAATCTCCCTAATGACCGTATGAGGTTGCATTATTGTTCTCGTTTAAGATGAGGAAACTGATGCTCGCAGAAGCCAAGCAAACTTCCCAAGGGTGGGCCTCTAGCAAGCGACAAGACCCAAACTTCAGCCCAAGGCTGCCTGGTTCCTTCTCCCAGCCGCCGCGGGAAACATCTCTCTAAAGTAAGGGGGAGGGTGGATTCAGGACTTTGGTGAGACAGGACTGAACGGCTCAAGAGTGCGACACAGAGAAATCGAGCCACTTGACTTAGAAGGACCAGCTCCTAGGTTTTAACGAACCTTTAGATATCCGTTGGGCCAACTGGCACGTATGCTATCTGACAGATGATGAATATTAGGACCAAGAGGAGGAAATGATTGGTTCCAGGTCACATAAGCAGAAGACACGCCAAGATTTACTAAGGGCATGCGAAGCAATTATGCGAATAACTTCAATCTAGCCTAGCAGCAACCTTATGGGCTAGGTACTATTATTGTTGTTGTTGTTATTACTATTATAACTCCCATTTTCCAAATGAGGAGCTGAGGCTTAGTAGGTGAAGTCACTTGCCCTGGCTCATTCAGCAAGAACTTGGCAGAACCAGGATTTCAATCCAGGGCCTGCCTGAGCCCAGATGCCATACAGTCTCTCTGAACTCAGTGGGAGTCAGGGAATTCGAGGCATGTGTTTGAGGGTGAGGGGTGGAGCATGGAGAAGATGAACCCCTTGCCTTAAAATACATCAGATTACACAGCACCACAAACACCCCCGCCACCTGATCTCTCTCCTGCTGCACTACGGGAAATAACTACATTTCTCAAAACGAACGTGGCTTGTTGGCCATCTCCCAGCCAGGACTCTGAACGCCGGCTCCCAACTCTGGGCCCAGGAGCCCCACCTCCGCCGCCACCTCCTCCTGTCCAGCCCCTCGGCAGCGGGGCTGAGCCAGCCCGCAGGCGGCTCCCCGCGGACCCCGGCGGCGGGATGGTGCGGGGGCGGCCGGCAGAGAGTACCTGCAGGAGGAGACCTGAGGAGGCCAGCCGGGCGGCCTGGCCCAGCACCTCCTGGCTGCCCATAGCCCGGCGCCCGGCTGTCACCAGGAAACGCCGCCGCCAGCCGTGTCGTCGCGAGAAGATCGCGTCACGGGCAGCTCGCCCTCTGATTGGTCGATTCGGAACGGAAGGCGGGGCGCGGGGAGTGCGGGGCCCTATGAGGGCGGGGGGCGCGTCAGTGTTCTGCGCCCATCTCCTCTCCCTTTTGTGCTGGGCTCGGCGCTTTCTCCGCCTGCCCCTACCTGAACCAAATAAGCTAAGTCAGTGGTTCTCAACCTTCCTGATGCCCCGACCCTTCCATACAGTTCTTCATGTTGTGGTGACCCCCAACCATAAAATTATTTTCGTGGCTACTTCATAACTGTAATTTTGCTACTGTTATGCATCGTCATGTAAATATCTGATATGCAGGATGTATTTGCATTGTTACAAATTGAACATAATTAAAGCATAGTGATTAATCACAAGAACAATATGTAATTATATATGTTTTCCGATGGTCTGAGGCGACCCCTGTGAAAGGGTCCTTTGACCCTCAAAGGGGTCGCGACCCACAGGTTGAGAACCGCTGAGCTAAGTAGTGGGTACGGAGGAGAAACGTGGTGGGGTGGCCAAAGCGCCTTCTCTGAGCTCTCCGCTCACCATCCACAGAACACGGACTCCCCTAATTTCACTAACAAGATTCCGGCCTTTTGGCCTTTGCCTACAAAATCGCACCCCAAGTTAGGCAATTCCCTGGACGGGAATCGACCCAACTTCACAGAGAAAGAAGTGAGGGCCGGAAGTTACATACAGCGTTTTTGCAGGAGTGATTCTGTGGGATCCTTCCTGAGTGCAGAGAAGGAGTCAAGTGAAACCCAGAGGTGTGGAGTGACTTGTTCTGTCTACACGTCCTGCCCCTGGTGGTGCAGACCCTGGGCTCCAGGTCCTAAACTTGCCTCTCTTGCCCGCCTGCTACCAGAGCAGAAGGACGGACGGGGGTCCTTTCTAAAATGTAAAGCACCCGGCACACCATCAGCTGCTCTTCTGTTGGTTTATTTGCTATGCGGACTCTGGGAAACCCAGTCTTCCTCAGTATCTTTTAGGCCTCCTGTGATTTGACCCCAACCTGCCTGCTTGACCGCCTTCCATAATATAATCACTGCCCTTTCCCAAGACACTGTAGGCTCTTGCCATTAGGAGCCCTTACTGTTTCTCAAACAGGCCCTGTCTTGTCAGTCTTTGCTCCTGCTTTCCTCTCTGCCCAAAGTGCCTTTCTTGATGGTGCCCCCCACTCAGGCCCCACGGCCCTGACTTTTCTGAGTACCACTGTCAGCTCCTGCTGTGGACTGAATGTGTGTGCTCCCCAAATTCATATATTGCAGCCCTAATTCCCAGTGTGATGGTTTTTGGAGGTGGGGCCTTTGAGAGGTAATTATGTCATGAGGGTGGGGTCCTCAGTGAATGGGGTTAGTGCCCTCATAAGAAGAGACAAAAGAGAGATGAACTCTCCATCAGGAGAGGATGACAGCAAGAAGGCAACCAGCTTCAAAACAGGAAGCGGGCTCTCACCAGAAATGTGAATTCGCCAGCACTTTATCTTAAACTTCCCAGCCTCCAGAACTGCAAGAAATAAGTTCCCGTTGCTTAAGCTACTCAGTCTATGGTCTTCTGTTGCAGGTGCCTGAGCAGACTAGGCCAGCACCTATACAGCACTTTGTAACCCTTTGTAGCTTTTAGCACTATCTGCTTTGCAATGAAGAGACTGGAATATGTTTCTCTGTCTAAACAAGAAAGGGAGAGTGAAGTCCACCTGGCTTTTCTCCCTGCAAGATAGCAGAGAAAGTTCCTAGGACCCCAATAAATATCTCCTGACTCTTACTGCTGCCGGGAACAGATGATGGAGCTCAAGCCTATGTACCCTTCTGTCCCCATCTTGCCAGATTAGCTCTACCTTATGGTGGAGGCACAGAATGTGAGCTTTTGACTGTCAGAAAGGCCCTGAATCCTCGTTCTGCTACTCACTAACTGGGTGACCTCAATGTGCTTAACTATTAACTAGGGGATATTCTCTGTCCTGTGAGGGCAATTATAAGAATCAAAGTAGACAAAAAGTCTGGCTCTTAAGGAGCTTAAATTGCAGTGGAAGGGAGACTGGGGGTGGGGGTGGGAAACCCTAACAACAAATAAAATTTCACATAATGGTAAGTGCTATGAAAGAATAAAACCACAGAAGGTAACAGAGGCTCTTGGAGGGTAGGAAGGGGCGATGTTCTGGATGACAGAGCAAACCTGGCACCCGCCGGGGAGAGGCGTGTACCTGGAAAGGACAGCGAAGTGTTGAAGGGTTGAGGTATTCAGCCTAAGGCCTTGACCTGGCAGCCTGCCCATCCCATGGACCTTAGACTGGCAGGTGAGGTAGGCTCTGGCTGCCTTTATCCCCAGCCAAGCAGCTGCCTCCTCCACAGCTCAGTCCTGAAGCAGAACCAGCCACAAGCTCTTCATGTCCACACGCTCCTAACCCTGGCATCCAAGTGGGCTGGGCTGGGAGGGACAAGGGGATCGTTTCTTTGGGAACAAAGAAGCCAAAGGGAAATGCTTCAAGCTAAGTCTGAAGGGTAAAGCCGCCCAGGCGTCCAGGGTACAGACCCCGAGGGGCTCCTGGGCAAGGAGTCGTGGATCTTTTTCTCTCAGCCGGAAAGTTACGACGTAACAAGGAGAGACTGGGCAGGAATTTGTGCCCAGAGCCATGCTGGATGCTGGGGCTGATGGGGGAGAAGGACTTGTGATTAGAGTCCATGAGCATTGACCACTGGCCCCACATCAGCACCTGTCTGAGCACTGGACTCCTCATTCTCTCAACAACCCATGAGGTAGATATTACAGATGAGGAAACTGAGGCACAGAGATGTTACGTTACTCCCCCAAAGCCGTTCAGGTCAGGAGTGGTCAAGCTGGCATTTGCACCGAGGTGCTTTCTGACTCCAAAAGCTAAAAGAGTGATGTTCCTGCCCTCAAAATGCTCCTGGTCCTGAAGGAGACTGGGCTAAGAGTCTCCATATCTAAACCCCAGAGGACATGTGTGACCGAGGGGGTGGGCCCTGGGAGGCTACAGTGGCTCAGCTGCACGGGGCCTCCCCAACGGCCTCGCCTCTGTGAACGGTATTGGCAGCAACGGGGCATGGCACATGCCATGGCCTTTGTGTGGAGGGCTAAGCTCAGGGCTGGTGAGCTATGGCCCACTAGCTGTGGCCTGCTTTGTATGACCTGAGCGCTAAGAATCGTTTTTACAGTTTTAAAGGGTTGGGAGAAAAATATCAAAAGAAGACTATTTCCTGACACATGAAAATCACATGAGATTTAAATTTCCCTGTCCACAAATAAAGTTTTATTACAACACGGCCACATCCACCCATTTGTTTCTATACTTGGCCTGGCGGCCTGCCCATCCAAAACACTGTCTTGCTACAACAGCAGGTCGTTTGCTCCAAAACACTGAAAATGTTTACTATCTGGCCTTTTACAGCAAAAGTTTGCCAATCCTGGCGAGCCCCAGGGCCTGACACCCAGTAGGCATTTCAATATTGAATGACTGGATGCACAGATAAAATAAATAATGAAGGACTAGGAAAGGAAGAAAGACAAATAAGAAGGTTCTTTGCCCCGGGGTCACTTGGTTTGGGGAGCAAGTGATCCTTGGAGAATGCCAGACCATAATTGGTGCTCACTGAAGGAGCCGTTTTCCCAGGCTCGCCCCTCCCTCCTGCCCTCTGTGCCAGGGGGCCTCCTTGCCAAGGAAAGCTGACCCGAGCTGGCTATTTTATTACCCAGCTGAAGGGAGTGCCAGGGCTGGTGCCAAGCCAGTTAGGCTCCCAGGGCAGTGGGGCAGGGAGGGAGGCTGCCAGCAGGCGAGGAGGCAGGGTAAAAGCGGTGCCTTAGACCTCATCTGGGTGGAGGCAGGAGAGCTGGGCATTGTCACTGGGAGATGGGGAATTTGGGGTGAGGGTCTTGCCCCACCAAGGCTTTCTGCTGCCCAAGGTCCATCCCTGCAAGAGAACCTCAAGTCTCTGTCCCTCACTCAGAAGTCCCTGGGCATGAGAACACGGCTGCACTACTAGCAGCCTACATTTGTTGAGTGTGTACAGGTACTTCACCTTCATGATCTCATTTTACTCCAAGAGCAGGCTCATGAGCCCTGGCCAGGTGGCTCAGTTGGTTGGAGCACCGTCCCATACACCAAAAGGTTGTAGGTTCAATTCCCAATTCGGCAACTGATCAGTGTTTTCCTCTCATGTTAACGTTTCTCTCTCTCTCTCTCTCTCTCTCTCTCTCTCTCTCTCTCTCTCTCAAATCAATAAACATATCCTCGGGTAAGGATTAAAAGGAAAAAGGAGCAGGCCCATGAGGCATAAGCCATTATTATCCCCATTTTAAAGACCAGGAAACTGAGGCTCAGTGAGGTTAAAGGATATGCCTAAGGGCTAGTAAATGGTGGTGCCAGCATTTTCACTGGGCATTGTGGCTCTCAGACCCTTAACCAGAAATGAACTGGAGTGTTTATTGATAATCTGATTCTTTGGCTCCACCTCAGCAGCTCTGATTCGGGAAGGTTGGGTGGGCCTGGGAATATGCATTCACCCACACCCGCCGTGGTTCTGATACAGTGGACCAGACATTTGGTTGTGTTCATTGTTTGGTGATT